CATCAATCTCTTAACAATATACCATACAAACTAAACTAATCTCCACAAAACCTCTTCAACTAAACTATTATAATCAGCTTACTACTAATCCACATCGAAATGTTCCTGAAATCCTAGTTAGAAGTCATGTTTGGAGTGAAACACTCATCACCAATAACATGAGGTGATCGTCGCACTATACAATAAATTGACTAAAGTTAAGACGATACTGTTGAAAGCCTATCCAATATTACCAATGTTTCAACTTCAAAGAGAGACCTGTAGGTCCTAAGTTCAGTCTCTGATGGGTTTATGGGTGTGTGTGTTACTAAAAAACCAAACTAAGATCAATTTGCGGTGATTAAAACAAACATTTATGTTTGATATTGATTGAAATTAGCTGAAAGTAAGAAATATTAAATAGTTATTTCTGTATATTTTAGGTTATTCAATAATATAAACCTAAAGTTGCATACAAGAGGCTACCTATGATGTTTAAATCTTAAAGTGAACATGACATCCATAAGTTATTGAGATTACAAAAAGGCTATTGCTAATTAAGAGAGAAAATAATTTTTCTTCAGACAAAAAGAGGTTTTTTAAATTTCCTAAAATAGTGAACGATAGTTCTACACAATGTTTCCCATTAAATCTAAATAGACAGATTGATAGATAAATTCACTTGGTATTGTTTACTTGAATCTTCCCATTAACGTTTAGGATTGCAATTGATCAGTCTCTTATTGGTATATGTGTATACTGAGCGGATTGCCTAGATATAGCCTTAATTCACAAGCATTGTAAGCAAAGATGGATAGTTGCTAGCAGTACAATCAAGGACGAAACTTGCGTCCTAAATTTCACTGCTAGCCACTATCCGTCTTTGCTTATAAAGATTGATAGATAGATAGAAAGGAATCGCAAACTATGAAAAAAGGGTAATAAGCTATATCATCAACTAACTGCTGATTAGTTAAAATCTAACAAACTTTTTTTTCATTATCCAATACACACTATTGATTATCAGTTTATTACTTAATATAATTTACTTCATATTATCTTTATTTTATATCTATCGAAATAATCTAAATAAATGAATGAAAATAAATAAACAACTGTAAATCAATGATAGTTACCATTGAAATGTATTCGTCACAGATTAATACTTTTTCCCCAAATGCCTTGGTACAGCCGAGAGTGACGAGAGTCCGCTCTCCCTCTCGAAACGCTCTCACATGACCACGCGTATATAGCCTCTTCCAGGGAAGTCCTACTCACTGCCTTCTCGTGGCATTACTGTTGTTTACGAAATTGAGAGGACGAAAAGCGAATGTCTGGCGCTTTAATCGGGTTGGAGGACACGGATAGTCCACCTAGGGGAGTCGGAAAACCCTGATTCCAAACCAATGGTGCACATGGGCTGATTCCAGTATCCTGAGGAAACAAATGGCGTATGAATCAATCGTTGGTCACCGGTTACTATGGGACTGCAACTTCTCACGATGCTCCACTGCCTTGTGGATCAGATCTTTATGTCAAAGGCTAGTGGTGTGGCCCCCTGGGAAAACCACCTATTTCGGTTTGGGCACCTGGGCAGTATCACAGCCGTCACACACATCAAATGAGATTTACGTGGCGCATATGTATCTGGTGCTTTTTGTACCAATATTTATGTGTTTAAATAATAATATGAATAAATACTTTTTCCGATATGTCTTTTGGAAACCCAAAATCATTCATTAGACAATTGTTTCATTCTTAAATAAGAATCCTCGCCAACAATTCATATTCACAATCTCACTGAGGACTAAACTCAAAACTTTCAGAATACACAATAAATACATATCTTTTAAAATCCATTGGCTATTACCTAATACCTCTTACAAATTAAATCAAACTTTAGGAAATCTTTTTAAAATAAACCTACTTTTAAAATGATCTTGTAATCTTATAACTGATTTACAAATTTAAACATTTCTCTTGTTAGTATTATTATTAATGTCACTCAAATGTTTTGAAGAAAATAAGGAAAAGACAATGGAATCGGATAGGACATAAATTGCGGAAAACATAAAACTGCATCACGGATTCCTGATGAAGTCCTGAAGGGAGCAGAAAAAGAAGAAGACCAAAGAATACATTGCGTCGGGTATCGGAATAGGACATCGAAGGAATGTGTTGCATCTGGAAAGAATTGCCCAGTGCAGAGTTGCTTAGAGAACCCTGGTCGATAGCCTATGCTCCACGAGGGGTAACAGTCTTAACTATGTAGTAAGCAAGTAGGAAACTCCCAAGAGGATTTTAGAATGCGAAGGGTTACTTCTTTGTCTTTTTGACTGGATAAATATTGGTTTTGTCATCAATTTCGAAGTTTTCCAGAATGTTTTCAGAATTTCACGGTTACACATAATATTCCAAATATTTTTGTATACTGTACATCAACAAATCTCCGAAGTAAAGCTTTAACCTATCTTTATTTATTATGTTTACAGTTCAAACCCTAGACGATTTCTGATGACTAGGATTTGGTCGTGAAGTCATTGTCTGAGTGTTTAAAAATAAAGTGTAACACTGATTTTAAAATAAATACTAACAGTAAAAAAGTGGATTATTTATGAAGTGCAAGTTTATGTAATATGCATTGAGAAACAGTTTATCTATGTGAAATCTAGTGTTGCTCTCTGATTGTTCAGACTAAAAGAAACGACATAGTATGTGAAAGTATGACCTATTGACTGAATTACGTCAATTACTAATCAATGGTCACCATAACGGCTGAGCGAAAATAATAAAATACACTTTAAGCAAACATGTCTGGATATGGATATTGCTTGAATATTAAATTAGACTATCTAGAGAATGAACCAGATTTCCGTTGTTTTTAAATATAATTAGACCACCATTGAAAATATAGAAGCACTTGACAACCGTCACGTCATAGTACGGTTCTCCTCATCAGTGCTCGTTCGCTGCCTCGCATCCGGGAGTAAAACCCCCGGCCCTTCGATCCCGCACGCAAATACCTAACCTCTGGATCACTGAATTGGTGTTGAACAGCTACAATACGCCTGTTCATTACTTCCAGGTTTTTAATGGTGGTTTAACTAAGATCAGTGACTTAAACTATGAAAATTGTGTAATATCCACAAAACCTTATACTGAAAATAAACTTGATCGACAAATCTTGAAGCTAAAATATGCATAAACAATCAAAACTGACAAAGAAAAAGTCGTAGATGAATTTAGTCTATCATCTTGTAGTTCTATCAGTTAAAGAATTTATCAAATACGGTAAGAAAAGTGGATACAAGTTGAAACACACTCATCAAGAATTAATAAAGGGTATTGTATGAATTAAAAATCTTCAGTATTATATAATTTGTTAACAAATCCATCAAAATCATATACTCAATCATAGAAGATTTACTGACAGTCAAGTTAATTAACATGAAATCCCTTAGAAGATTCTGATGTTTCAGCTAAAAGTGAGATAGTTGTCGAGAATCGGAAGTTTTCACTCATGACCGTCAAACGGGGAAAACTGTTTCTCTTCAAGTCCAAGCTATAATTTCAAAAGGTTCGAAAACTCACAAATTAGGATTTAACACCTGCTTGACACAAACTAGCTTCGATGGTAGGTTATTGAAGCAAGTCAATCGAAAGCCCTAGACCTAGATTGGCACTCATTACAACGATATACTCGTATGAAATACTAGAAAAATGTAATATTTATTATAGACCCCACAAGTAGCATCATTCCCCTTAATATTCGAAGTACTTCTCTTACCGATGAATACTAACTGACATGGAACCTAAGACCATAGTTTTCTCGCGACCGATTCCAACTATAATACACGAATATATAGTCTATACAATAATAGATCACCTACACTAGTGACTTCATCTCTACTTGATCTACGGAATGCGGTCATTACCAAAAAGGCAAGAATAACATGACATTGGTCACTACTACTCAGTAATCAATCTATACATTCTAGATTTCAACGATTGTTTAACTAACATCATTTCAAAACTAAAACTTCCTTCAAAATGTGTGCAGGTCTTTTTGCGAACTGTATACTTCTACAACAACCATAACTTATGGATCATTCATTATAGAAAAACTACAATATAGTCAATAAATAAATGATAAATACTTGTCATATTGTCGTGTGGTCTACTTATATCCGCATAAGTAGTATATGCTGAGGGTCAGACATAAAATATATTTTGGCAGAAGATCGGTAAGGAGCAAACTGAAACGAAGCGCAATCGGTACGAAAATGAATGAACAATGAAATTAGAAAAGATTAACTGATATTTACAGAAGGGACAGTGAAGATTGAGACAATTGATTATTATTTTTTTGCAAATTAACTGTTCACGATATGACTATCCGAATTTAGTGAGATAGTCTGTAATTTGTGCGTAAAATACATTTGATTGTCCCCAACTAGTGTTATGTTCACTACAATATAACTATAGTATAATTATTATTACGCAACTGAGGAAATTTTCATAGCTGAACGCGTGAGTCAATTGAAGCTAGACCACCATCGAAAACTCGGAAGCACTGGACAGCCGTTTCATCCTATTGTGGGACTCCTCACCAGTGCGCATCCATGACCTCGCCTTGCGAGATTCCAACCGAGGACCTACCAGTCTCGCGTCAGAGCACTTAACCGATAGACCATTGAGCCGGCATCCAACGGTGTTACTGTCTAACTTCAACCAATCCACTAAATTTAAGCAACCGTTCACCAATTGTCTTCAGTGAGTTAATATCTCATAACAGACGTGGTTTGAACTTCACTGGTCCAGTGCTTCCAGGTTTTCCCTGGTGGTCTAACTTCATTGACTCACACTTTTAACTATGAAAATACTAAATCACCACAAAAAAAAACCTTGTGATCTATAAAGAAATTTCACCAATAATCAATCCAAAAAACAAACAAAAAATTAAATTTTAACTAAGATATTCAATCATTAATTAATTAATTAAATTAATTAATTCAACTTACCAGAAAACATTAATCCAAATTGACATATACGATGTATATTTAATTGCCATAGAAACTTTAAATAACAACCAATAAATGATAAAATAAATGATAAAAAAAATAAATTACAACAACTAATAATTAATAATATTAAACTTATTCTCCATGTTATATGTGGTATATTAAAAAATTCATAATAACCACAATTAATTTGTATATTTATCAATGATGATTCAATAAAATTTTGTTTTAAATTTAATTTATATTTAATTGGTTGATTAAAAAATATTAAAGATTTTTCTGGATCTTCTAATAAGATATCTGTAACTAAATTTGTATAAATTGGATAAATACAACGACGAAATAAATTTAATGTACTTATTAAATCTGTATTATAAGTAGTATATTTTAAATGATTTTCATTGAAAGTAGTGATTTCTGAATTTGATAAAATTTTACCATTTAACCAATATGGTAATAAACAACCAATTGTACATAATATAGCTGTTATCCATGTTAGAATACACCATATTAACCATATATAACTCATGATTACTATAATATTGTATGAAGATATTTCATTATGTTAGTTATTTTATACAAATGTATCATATAAATATATGTATAAAACAATTATTAATCCATAAGATATGAACAATGGTGGAAACAATTTTCTTTTTTCAATCGATCAATATTTATGCTTTTTAGAAATCAATAATTTTCTGTGATTTTGTTATTTTTGATGAATAAACTGAAGAAAGAAAAAATATCATTTCATCATTTATTAACATACTTCCACCTTGTTTACTATATATATATATATAATTGATATATATTTAAAACTAAGCTATTTATTAGCTTAAATTTTTGTATGTAAGTAATTGTTACATATGTGAATATATTCATATCAGATATAAGACAATTCACCAATCAGATTCAATTTCATTGGATAATATGGTGCGTATGTATTTGGCGTCCAAATTAAAATTGGTTAATAATTAACCAATCATATGTTGAGTTTTGATCAGTCGGTAATATATATATACTGACTGATCGAAGGTCAGCATTTGATTGGTTAATTAATAAACATATATATACGCATAAACATAATTAGAAATGAAACAACGAACAAATGATATCTTATTATGTTGATTAGGTCAAAACAGGAAATTATATTTATGTTCTAAATTGAAGAAATGATATATTAATACAAAAATTAAAATTTTTCTATTCAATTGATGGTCTAAAAATTATCTTAAAGATAAAATAAAAATCAGTTGAAGAACTGTTGAAAATCTAGAAGGATCGATTAAATATTTAGTGACTATGAATGAAACTACTTACTTACCATCCTCTATCTCTCTGTCTGATAACTAGAGACGAGAAGTTATGAAGAAAAAAAAACAACTTCCTAGAGTACAACTCTAACGTACAAACATATTTACAAGAATTTTTGTGGATAGGGTAACGAAATAGAGTACGAAAACACAAGTGAAACCAGTAAGGATAATAACGTTCTTTTAAGCGGAGAAAAAATCTAGCCATGTGCAAAATCTTGACACAAATAATTTTAAATGTAAATTTGTATAGAATAAATTACAAAATAGAGTGAATTTTACAAGCTATTTGACAAGACCTAAGATTTCTTACAAGTTTAAACAATGACCACACACCTAGCTTAGTGCATTAATCGACACTTTATCCCACCACTACAAGAAATCAAGTGAAATACAGCTAAAGATGAAAATTTTTTTCATCAAATTATTGATAACATTCCCTAAACAATTTGTGTATAGATGATAAATAATTGGCGTCGGTATAGTAAAAGACTGGTAGATATGATAATTTAAATTTTCAAGGGTATTAACTGAAATGAAGGACAAACAAAAATGAGTAACGCGACATGATTATTTAGTTCATCTGCAAATCATTCAACACCCTAGGTTGTTTTATTCATTCTAATATACAACATCTGTTATGGAAATACTGAAGATCAATTATAGAAGTTGTAAATCAACCAATACTGTTCTGAAATCGTAGTTTCTGTAGACATAATGGACTGGACATCAAAAAAGCGAATTTATATATTTGTAACCACTTAACTGAGATTATTGCATTTAGCTTACAAGGCACTAGATCAAATGAATAATACTGTCATTTTAGATACTATCCAGTGGTGATATCCAGGGCATTCGTTTCATTTCAATTGAAACTCGGAAGTACCTGAGCCCCAGTGTCGAGTTCAACACAGATACTCAGATCAAGAAGCAAATAATGTAAATATTAAAATATTATCGATTAGGTTATTGAGATATGATAGCCCCTGATTTATTCTAAAGGCATAGTATTCATTATCAATCGCACTAATTTGGTATTTCCCCGCTGTTAATACCCTAAGTTATACTTGATTACACTCTCTCTTTGTTTATGTAAAATTCCTGAATAAAACAAAACAAGGTTCCCAGATTTCATTGTTAACTGGTATTCAACAATATAAACAATTTTTAAATGCAGACGACATGGAGGATTATGTTTGAAAGACTGATCGAACTGAATGCGCTGATTAGTAAATATTATTTACAGTTTTAAAAATCCATATTAAAATTATTCAAACACAAGCATTATAGGCAAAGATGGATAGTGGCTAGCAGTGGAGTCCAGTTTGATGCGCATTTCGTCCTATTTGGGACTCGTCAGCTGGGTGTACCTGCATCTCAGAGTTGATGTTCACTCTGGGACTCGAAACCAGTACCGTTCAAACGGCAGTGCGTTATCCACTCAGCTAATGTGTCCTGAAGCGAAAAGCACTGTGTTTGAGTTCCGGAGTAAACATCAACTCTCTTATGCAGATACATCCAGCTGACGAGTCCTAAATGGGACGAAACGCACGTTCTGGATTCCATTGCCAGCCACTATCCATCTTTGCTTAGAATGCTTGTGAATTTAAACCATATGGAGGCAATATACACAGTATGCACATATGCCAATTAAAGACTGACCAGTTGCAGTCCTAAGCAACAATGGGAAGATTCAAATAAACAATACTAAGTGCCTTCTATGCTTATTTGCTTGTTCAGTTGTATCATATATTCACTAATACAACATACCAACTTTTATTCTTTCTCTAACTTAAAAAAAAACAGATAAAATATGTTCACTTAACTTCTACTATATTCAATACTTTATCGAACTAGAAAAAAGATTCAGTTTTATAAAATTGTAATCAGATTATTACTAATTTTAAATAAACATTTATGTTATGATTAATTTGTTTCAATTTTTTCCTGAAAAAAAAAGGAAGTTGATAGGAATCAAATTTTTTTTAGGGGGGGAGGGGATGGGGAAAGTCGCTAAAAATAGTTTCTATTTAAATATTGATTAGATTATTTGTTTTTTCCCCTATTCATATTTCTACCTTTCAATCAAAACAACCCATATAATTTACAATTTTTTTTAATAAAATCAAATATCCGATATCAAAGAGTATAAGGTTATCCTTATTGAATAAAATAAATGAATTATGTTAATTATTAATGAATATTTAAACTTTTCATTAAACAGATGCACTAATAAATCATCATCGAAATGATGAGTAATTCATTTTTATTGGTTATTTGAATTTTCCCATTGATGTTGGTATATATGCTTCCTATTCAGACCGCCTCAATATGGCCACTAAGTCATAAACCTTTTTAAGTACATATGGATGTCAGCTAGCAGTGGCATCCAAGATACACGTTTATAATCAGAAGGGGTTTTATGGAGATTTCAGTAATTTTATATAATTGAAATCATGAGTCAATTGAAGGTAGACCACCATGGAAAACTTGGAAGCACTGGATAGCCGTTTCATCCAATTGTGGGGCTCCTCAGAAGTGCGAATCCACGATCCCGCCTCACGAGATTCGAACCTAGGACCTACCAGTCCAGTGCTTCCAGGTTTTCCATTGTAGTCTAGCTTCAATTGACCCATAATTTCAACTATGAAAACACATGTTTATATATAATAATATAATTTACGAAATCAATAATTTAAGTGACTTAACTGAGAAATATAACTCATTCCTGACTTATTGATCTGTTCGTTTCCTTCGTAAAACCTTTCACTGAAAACTGCTAGATTTCTTTTTTTCTTTTTTGCTCTACGAAGACTTTTGTTTCTTGATAACTGTTTGATTGAAAATCTGGCACATCGTTTTATATTCCTCCAAAGTGTATCTTTTGGGTTCCTTACGAGGGATTGTTTTTTTGGTGCTGTTCTCAACTTCAACTGAGGTAGGTTTCAATTGACCCTCGATTTCATTATGATAATGGAAGCAACGCAAAAATTACTCTAAATCATCACTTATGAATACCGGTTGACTATCAAGACCTTGATAATCTTAGTTTTCATCTGTTCGCTCAAGTTTTTTCAGGCTCGGATTGTCAAAGTCCTAATTTGAATTGAATTGCTTACCAACATCCAGAGCAAAATTTGCTCTTCTTTAACCTATTTTATATCCTCTGGGTTTAAATCTTAACACTCTAATATCATTCAGGTCACTTGCCAACTCAAGAAATGTCTCTAGTTATCTCCTCCATAGCTGTAATTTTCTTATCTTCAAATAGCACCGATTGTAAGTCCGCAGCTTTGAAGGAATTCAACATCTGAGAAGTAAATATTGTGACTTCATACTTGGATTGCACTTCACTCTTAGTTTTTATATTAGCCTTTACTTGCAAAAACACCGAAATAACTTGATCTGTTATATCCAGAGTTGACTCTTGTGTGCTTAAATAGAAATATCATTTAATAATTGCAAATATAGGTCAAGCATACTGATTCAATCAAATTCAAACATGCTCAGGTTTGTATTAGTAATATAACATGATTTCATGGTAGTCTTACATTGACATATAACATTACAGATTTATAATCCTTTGAGGCTTAATATTCCATCCCAAGAAATTTTCTCAACCTGAGGTGTTTTTCGAAACTCTGGTCTCCCCATACATCACCGTAGGTTGGTTGATATTGCATTGCAATATCAGATGCCATATCTAGTTGAAGGTGTGTACAATATCTTTTTATTTGTAAAGGTACGTATATTTCCTTAGCTTCATCACTATTCATCAATGTTGTAAATAGACCTCTTGAATGCATGTAGAGATTGTCCTGTGAGAATTTTCTCTACTTTGCTACAAACCTGTTGGTGTTGAGGTTTGATTTGCATAACCCATTTGTATCCATGTGCTTGTTGCATTGTTGAAAATGGTATTTCTTAAAATGATAAAACTTTTCAAAATGCCATTTACCACAGTATCAACAAGCTAATAAAGGCACTTTCCTGATGCTGACTGAGAATGTTGTCTCAGTGATTATTTTAATGTTGCTGTTTGGAATGCTAGATCCTCAGAAATTGCTTGGTTAACATAACATTTTTGTAATTTTATTTTGAAAATTTGAATTTCCCATTTTCATTTCAAAAGTGCCCACTTTTTCACTCAGTTTGTATTTCTCATTTGTGAGCATCTTAAATGTCATTGGTTCGTTTCCTCTTTCAGTACGCTATTTTGTGACGCTGTACAAGGACATTTTTGTACTGTATGTATACGTCTGAGTTGTGTGTTTATTCGTTCGCGCTTCAGACTTCTTGTGAAATATACATTTACCTCAGCAGAATCCGATCTTCTCCCTCTAATTAGCAGGGCTGAGGTGCAGTGGATGGTTTAGATTGCTATGTTGTGATATCGCAATCTCTTCAAACATAGCAGTTGCCACTGTATTTAATACACTGAATTGTTTCGGTTTGTCAAGCATTTGATGATCATTTTAATTTAACTCCCTAGCATTATAAGCAACTATTTTTTATGTTTTCAAAAGGTCCAGCTCAGTTTTATTAAAAAGACTTGTATGAATACCTGCTTCTACTGAAAATTGTATACCATAAACAAAAATGAGTCATTTGACAGGGACTTTAACTTGATGTATTTACGTTCTCCGTTAACAATACCTGA